GTTTATAAAAAACTGAGTTTTATAAATTAAAGCTGATAGGTTTATATATAGTTTGCTAAAAAAATCATGAAATTATGGCTAAAAGTAAAAAAAAACCACTTTAAAAAAATTGACGAAAACATTTTCCGTTGCGTTTTTTCGGAGTGTATTTGAATAGTCTGGCTGGTGTAGAAACAAATTTTATTCACAATTAATGTATAATATCGAAGATCCTCTTTTGTTAAGTTTTTATCTGATTATTATAGATACTTTATTATATAAATACCAAGTCAACAACTTTACAATGCCTGTGCTTTTCCCTTTAACCGATCATCTCCGATCGGTTGAGCTCAGACAATAAGGAAGAGCGTGAAACAACAGAACATCTGCTTCTGAAATCGGCAATTGTTTTCTTGTCACGGGCTTATCGGCACGGCCGTCCCTAATCTTGGCTTGCGCCGATTCGTTCATTCGTCACTGCAAAAGCCGAAAGACACAAACAATTGAATCGCAGTAGTCGTCGATAGCATCCTTCTGGTAGGAGACAATAGAAAAAGCTTCAGAAAAATAACAAAAATAGTGTAACACAACATTTTTCAGTGAAATGGTAAAACATGTTATGGTCTGATATGATTTTAGTTAACTGTCATTACTGGAAACTTAATTTAAAATGAATTACTACAGATGAATTAAAGTCGGTTTATTTGATAAAGTTAATATACTAAGTATAATAATAAATAGAAAGTAGTAGCAGTAAGTTAGAAATAAATAATTAGTTTATTAAAATACTATAGTTCATAAATGATGGTGGTCCAATATACAGGGTGTTGGAAAAATGCACGGCCAAATTTCAGGAAGTGATTCCTAGCCAAAGAATATAAAAAAAATATATTAACATGGGTCCAGATATGTATAGTTTTAAAGATACAGTATGTTAAATTGTGCTCTACCTGTGCTCTACCTACAGAATGTTTCTGTAGGTAGAGCACTGAACATTAATGATATAAATTTTAATCTGTTATCAAGTATGTACTTTAGTTGTAAATTGAAATTTATTTTTTTAATTTTTTTTGAATGGATCCAGATATCTACAATGAATTGGTTTTATTCTTTTCTCGGAAACAGTTCTAGATATGCCTATGATATGACACAAGAGAAAAGTTCTATTCTTAGTTGCTTAATCTAAAAAATAACAAATAAAAATGCAAGAAAAGTCAGTGGCGTTTATTTGTCCCCGATTTTCTTTAGGTTGTCCCTTTGTAACGTCATTAAAATTAATCATTTAAAAAAGTTCTATTCTTAGTTGCTTAATCTAAAAAATAACAAATAAAAATGCATCAAAAGTCAGTGGCGTTTATTTGTCTTTGTGACGCTATTAAAATTAGTAATTTAAAATTAATTAGACCTAAATTAGGTCATTATTACTAGAAATAACATTTACAAATTTTACAACAAAGAAATGAGAATCATAAACAATATAATTATGCATATATTAGGTAGGTACTTATTGCGTACCAGTTATAACAATGTAGCCGTACAATACTTATTCACAATTTTATTAAACGAAATAAACATGCCTTTTAAAAGAGTAATTTTTAGTTAAACAGAATCATTTTTATCTCTATTATAAATGATAAAGTATCCTTAAAACTCCAAACAATATGGCGATATTATTATATAAATTGGTAATGTTTGAGGAGTAGTTTCATCTAGTTGGAATTTGACTTTCGAAAAATCCGTTTGGCAAAAATAAGCTTTTTACGTCAAGCAGTTTAAGCAGAATCGTGGTTAAGAAATTACCCAACTTTTTGGAACACCCTATATGATTTTTTAAAAAATTTCAAAATATGTAAAAAAAACAAATAAATTATGCTTGTCCGAAAAACTAACCGTTTTTTAAATAACAAATATTGTAATATTTGAGGGGCGTTTTCACCCTCTTGGAATTGGAGATTCGAGAAACCCCTCCTTATCGAACCTCTACACCCTACAGTCAATCCACTTCCCAAAAATTAGCTTTAAACGTCAAGCAGTTTAAGCAGGATCGTGATTAATCAATGACCAGATTTTTCGAAACACCCTGTATACATTTTTAAAAAATCTTAAAATATGTAAAAAAAACAAAATAAAATATACATGTTTAAGCGTTTTTTCGGAAACTTGACCGTTTTTTAAATAAAAAATATTGTAATATTTGAGGGGTAGTTTGACCCTCTTGGAACTGGAATTTCAAAAAATCCCTTCTTATCGAACCTCTACACCCTAGAATCAACCTGTATGCCAAAATTGAACTTATTACGTTGAGTGGTTTGAGCAGGATCGTGATTAATCAGTATGTCAGTCACTTAAGGATTTTATATATTAGTATAGATTAAATTTTTCTTCTTCGTGCAGTTTTATTCAGATCAACAACATGTCAGATAAATAAGTATTTGTAAGAAAAACAGCCTAACTTATTGATGTAGTAATAGTGAAAATAATGATAAATCAAACTATACTTTCAGAATCCATAGAATAAGACCTTTCAGATGGCTGATAATCTGATTCACTTGGTGCAAATGGTTCAGACATTTCAGTTTCAGTTTCATTTTTATCCACACATCAGTTTCATTTTTATTCACTTTATCAAAAAAAAATATTTTTTAGCTCTAAACTTTAGCACGTGTGTTAAAATCGCGCACAGCGTTAAATTTTATGGACTTCATTCAGTTCACTTCTGAAAGGAATCAACAGAATATTCAGAAACTAAACAGAAACAGGCTATAGCTGCTTAATGCGTGAAGTATGACTTAATTCATTTTTCTACTGAAAAAAACAATATTTTATAAAAGTATAAAGACGATTATCCTGAAATAGTAGGAAATTAGACTTGATCCATTTTAATTCTGACCAGTCCAAATGTAGCCGGATGCGTAATACATTTTTACCAATATACTAGTAAGCAAGTAATAGTATTTTGTCAGTTTGTAAATGACAGTGATAATTTCACTGTCATTTACTTACTCGTTTCACAAAGAAATTAAATTAAATAATTATAAATTATTTCGGCAATAAATGTAGCCAGATATGAAATATATTTTTCCTAATATATTATAAAGCAAGTAAATAATAGTGCTTTGTCAGTTTGTAAAAGATTGTGAATTTAAGTAGAGCTAAAATTATTAACATTCAATTCTCTCAATAAAAATTATAAATTATTCTTAATACGCCACTGTACCCAATAAGGCGACAATCCTTGTCGCATTCCGCCCGACATCTTTTTTCTCGAATCCCGGAAAAGAAGTGAAGCGACGCAAATAAAGTCGTTCGAGACCGAACTGAAAACAAAAGCAAATAGAAAGACAGATTTGAACATGATAAATTTAATCTCCGTCTCTGTTCTTTGCTCTTGTCGACCTCGCACAATGACTGGCATCGCGTCGTATCATTTACATTTCCGCGGGCGGCTCAAAAAAAGTTTATTTTAGAAAAATTACCCCACCCTTCGCCTTTAAAGTTGGAGAATAATGAGTCGACTAATGACTTTTTCTTCTTCATTTCTTTTTTGCCTAAGAAGCGTCAAGATTCATTTGCTATTCTAAAATGAAATGAACTTGTTCTTAATGCTGTTGCGTGAGATTTAATTATCATACCGATTTTGTTCTACAATAACAGATAGTAATACAGGTTGTTCCAATATTCCGTGAATATAGAATTAGTAGGTATTTTTAGAATCAAAATAAGTTAATTAGACACAATATATGTTTACACAAAAGTTCTTCGTTTGTCTATTAAAGAAATTTAATTTTGATGAAGCTTATTGTCAAAAATCATTTGCAACTGTCACGTGACATTCTACATTTTTGACAACTAGAATATATATTATGGCTTACTAGATTTTAACGCCTTGATGTGACAACAAATATTTCTTGTAGTTCAGCTTCAGAAAAAAGAATCCTAAAATCTATGAGAGGTGGCGTTTTTCTAGAAGTTGGCGTTTCTCTCAAGGTAAAACGGACAGCTCTCTCTCGCGCGTTTCACCTTGAGGCAACCAAAATACGGTTTTTGGTCCTTCATTTAAAAAAGCACGCGTGCGTCTCGAAAGTGGCTCAACCCTATAATTTTTTTATTTTTTTCAGATAAAAAAACTAGATTTGTTATGTTAGTATATGACATAAATTACGAGTGATTGACATATTCAATTGTTTTTGGTCACTTCCTGTTTCACGGGAAATATCTACACCTTTTAATTTTTAGATGGCACCCTCAGTATATTTCTACTTTATTCGATAGAAAATGACACTCTCAATAGAATGACATATCATATGTCAACTTTTGACATTGTTGCTTATAAAAACTCGTATTTTAAATTCCAATCTAGAGTGCCATGGCTGTGTTAAAAATACTAATTTTTAATCAAGGAGAAAAAATAGATTTGATCGTCTAATGTTTCTCGTCTGTTGTCTTGACCGGTTAAAAGATGCCCAAATCGTATTTTTAATCACATCTCATTTTTTTCAAATAAAACAAGAGTGGCTCATTGGCATATTACGAAAAATCATTTTTTAACAAATAATTTGGTACCACACACTTGGTATTTCGAGTCAAATTGTCGTTATGAATATCATGTAACAATTTCAAATAAAGAATATCCAAAAATGTCAAAAATTGACAGATGATATATCATTGTACTCAGAGTGTTATTTGATATAGAACAATGTAGAAATATACCAAGGGTGTCATTTAAAAATCAAAAGTTTGAAGTGAAATCAAAAGAAATGACCAAAAACAATTGAATACGTCAATCAATCCTAATTTATGTCAAATACTAGCATACCAAATCTAGTTTTTTTATCTGAACAAATAAAAAGTTATAGAGGTGAGCCACTTTTGAGACGCAACGGGTATGTAAATTGTGTTCAGTTAACTTATTTTTATTCCAAAAATACATAGCAGTTATATGTACAAGGAATATTGGTACAACCTGTATAATAAATGCAATATAAATTAATGAATATTAATTAAGTACCCAAAATACTTACACATTACATCAAGTCGTACTTCAATACTGCTGGATTTTGTCGAGTACGACTCATGGATTGCTACACATCGCAACATCCTACCGTGATTATCCTTGGATATGGTCAGTTCCAAAACTGACACTGCCAACCATGTCCTCGGATTATCAAGTTCAGTTGTGTTTGTTTGTCGCCTGGTCGATGTTATTTCTTGTTGATCTAGAACAACAAAAAATCGTTTAGAAAATATATACACTAAATTAAAATAATTTTAAAGTAAATGTTATTTAAACAAAATACGAGTAGGGGAAAAAGAGGCCAAAAACCCCTACATATATGGTTATTCTCTGCATTAAGTTCATCAGATCGAAGGAAACAGACATTCGACGACCGGTTTCGGAGATTTTTCTCCATCGTCAGGCCGACTCTGCTGTAACCTTAGATCTGACCAACGAAAAGCAGAGAATAGCATTTGAGTACAAAACGTACTACTATGGCGAGAGTGCTAGACGCTCTACGCCATCTAGCGGCAGCGGTGACAATCGCAGATTGTCAAAGCTGTGTAGAGCGTCTAGAACTCTCGCTAGACGCTCTACGCCATCTAGCGGCAGCTGTGACAATCACAGATTGTCACAGCTGCGTAGAGCGTCTAGCACTCTTGTTATAGTAGTACGTTTTTTGCTCAAATGCCATTCTCTGCTTTTCGTTGGTCAGATCGAGGGTTACAACAGAATATATTGAAATAGTCAATGCATGTCATTATTGACAAAAAAATAAACATGTTGAGTAGTTATTTCACTGAAATCATAAATTTGGGAACTTTTTATTTTTTTAAATTAAACATAAATTGATTCTTCGAAAAAATGTTGATAAACCAGTTTCTCTTGAACTTTTGGCACAAAAACATTTGAAATTTATGATTTCAATCTAATTATTTTTTAGATTGTTGATATTTAACATATTTAATTTATGTCAATGATAACAGGTATCGATAATTTTGATTCCAAATATCTCGAGAACCATTAGTCGTAGTGATTTTTACCAAGAGACTTTTTTTTACATAAAAAAAGGTCGCAAATGTATAATTTTTTATACAGTAGTTTTACATAGGTACGGGCAAAAAGTTATCACTCTCCAAACCAGTTAAAAAATATGTCATATTGACATCAAAATCAAATTTATCATGTCAAAAACTCCCAGACACCAATATTTATCCAAATATTGACGTTACTTCAGAAATTATTTGGAAAAAATCAAAATAAAAATGAAACTTCAAGCACTAAACTAAGCATTTTTGGGACATACATTTATACGAACTTATTTACTTATTTTTATCTGCAGTATATGCTGCCGAAGTTACCGGAATACAGTTCGGACCACCCTGTACATTAATTTTATGAGTATTTGTATTGATTTGTATTGATTGTATTGGTTTGTATTGATTTTAAAAAAAAACTGCCTAGATATCTAATTTATAGGACTTTAAAAAATATCTTTTGAAGAGTGCTCTAAAAGACTATTTATTAAACCTAAAAGACAAACAAAAATACTTAAAAAATAGTAAAATTTAAATTCAGGCTGATTCCTCAAATTTTTTTTTAATTTCTCAGCGTGTTTTGAATTTTACGAACCGCAAGTCTGTGTCGGTCTCTCCCCCTCTCCTCCCCAATTCACCCTCTTAAACATCCCCAACAACCTCTTTTTTGGCCACGTTTCAATTTTCTTCCACGTTTCTCCATTTTTATTTTATTCTCCGTAATAAAATATAGGGAGAACAATACGCGCCCGTAAATCGCATATTACACACATCAAACGCAGCAAAACTCCAAATAGACGAACTTTTATAGTAATAGGTGTCGTAAATGTCCCTGGCTCCCGTTCGTAAGTTACGCCTCCGTAAATATAAAAGAAGAGAGATTGGGGTACAGTTAGAAACAATAAGGTCAGTTAGGTTTCACAGTGCTTGGAAAAATACGATATTATATTTTTCCTGATATAAATGTTACATTTTTCATCACTTTTTGTGTTTCTTCTTTGGTTTCTTTTACAATTGTATCTTTTAATAATGCTTATTCTATTTTATAATAAGAAATAAGAGCGCAGCAGCAACGACTATAAAATATCGGGAATGAGAATCAACTTTTAAATTTTCCATGATATCTTCTTCTAGGAGATGCGAGACCTTGTCGTTGGTGGGGAAGCTCCTAGTTAGGTGCTAGAGGGAATCCCCTCTAGCACTTTAGCTGGGTCTAAGAAGCATCTCATTATCTTGTCTCTAGTTGTAGTGTCGCCAGGGTAGTACCAAGACGTATAAAGGTTGATTCTCACTATACCTTCCGTATCAGCTACCTTCCGTTTCCCTTCCGTTTACATATAATATTATATCATGTAAATCAATAGGACAATGCACACTATCCGTTCCGTTTCTCTTCCGTTCCATATCCTTTCTTTCCATACATTTTTTAGGGGACGGACTGAAGCGTATCGTAAACAGCGTTGTCAAAATCATATATTTGTACCAGCTCCGTTAACATTTTGCTGATATTTATTTATTTTTTCTCATCTTAATTAAATATATTGCTTTTTTCAAAAGATACAAATTTTCAAAATAAAACTTTCATAATGATATAAGTTGTACAATAAAAAGTATGGAACTGATAAGGAACGGAAGCTTACGTATAGCGTCAAAACAATAACAAATAAGGAACGAATATGGAATGGAAACAGAAGGTATTATAGTGAGAATCAACCTTAAGAATGCCGGATGAGACTACCCTGTCCGTCAATCAGATACCCTCCACTGTCCATGGTCATGTATCACGGGCGGAGGAGTGGGGAGGTCTTAGCTTAACCGCCCGGTCCAAGAGGAGAAAACCTCACCAAAAACCTAAATCCTATGATGGCGGGGCCAGGTCAAGGGGATCACCTCTGCTGGTCTCAACCTTGGGGCACCAGGTGGCAACCCATTGTATTCTCGTCTCCCTTAATTCTACATACAGGTCTCTGTAGAAATGGACTGAGTGAACCCTTGGGGTGTAATTGACTTCAAATCCAGCGATGCAATAGAGAAAGAGAGGTATATTCTCTATTATAGATTCGGGAAAACACCGGTATCAGGTCTAAGGAGAGACCAAGTTAAAGAGGTGGAGAAGGGTGGAGACAGACCCACCAGCCTCCACCTCACCCGGAGACAAACTCCTCGATTGTGAAGGGCACAGAGGGCTAAATCCCCAACCGTGGGACGGTGTATATCCTCGTAGGAGGTAGAGGTCCACTCCTCGGAGGATGAACAGTTGTTGTCAGATGAGGATTGGAAATAAGAAATCTAAGCAATCTGAGTTATAGACTGTATGATAAGGAGGTGGGAGAAGGACACCGGACATTATAATATATGTCTATATATTAATAATAAAATAGAAAACAAATTTCTTGCAGTAGAGGTATGTAATAAAATTATATAAAGATTCTTGCCACTTAACTGCTGATATAGAAATTTAATTCTACGCTGTGTTTATCATAATGCGGATCAACCTGCTCTCACTACCGGTTTCGGAGCCCTACTCCATCATCAGATCATCAGGTGAGCTTGGGAGATCCACAAAATGACAACCACAGCGCAGAGATAGTTAATTCCGACTTGTCGGAAAGTATCGGTTAGATATTAAGTCCCGAACGGGAGATAACGGCCTGCTTGCAATGGTAGTACTTTCGTACCACCGAGGCGCAACTATCGATAGTAAAAGGATGGTAAAAGGCTTTTTTTCAGGTAAGCCAAATTATAAAATAGAAAACAAATTTCTTGCAGTAGAGGTATACAATAAAATTATAAAAAGATTCTTGCCACTTAACTGCTAATATAGAAATTTAATTCTACGCTGTGTTTGTCATAATGCGGATCAACCTGCTCTCACTACCGGTTTAGGAGCCCTACTCCATCATCAGGTGAGCGTGGGAGATCCACAAAATGAAAACCACAGCGCAGAGATAGTTAATTCCGACTTGTCGGAAAGTATCGGTTAGATATTCAGTCCCGAACGGGAGATAGCGGCCTGCATGCAATGGTAGTACTTTCGTATCACCGAGGCGCAACTATCGATAGTAAAAGGATGGTAAAAGGCTTTTTTTCAGGCAAGCCAAATTATAAAATAGAAAAAAATTTCTTGCAGTAGAGGTATACAATAAAATTATATAAAGATTCTTGCCACTTAACTGCTAATATAGAAATTTAATTCTACGCTGTGTTTGTCATAATGCGGATCAACCTGCTCTCACTACCGGTTTCGGAGCCCTACTCCATCATCAGGTGAGCGTGGGAGATCCACAAAATGACAACCACAGCGCAGAGATAGTTAATTCCGACTTGTCGGAAAGTATCGGTTAGATATTCAGTCCCGAACAGGAGATAGCGGCCTGCATGCAATGGTAGTACTTTCGTACCACCGAGGCGCAACTATCGATAGTAAAAGGATGGTAAAAGGCTTTTTTTCAGGCAAGCCAAATTATAAAATAGAAAACAAATTTCTTGCAGTAGAGGTATACAATAAAATTATATAAAGATTCTTGCCACTTAACTGCTAATATAGAAATTTAATTCTACGCTGTGTTTGTCATAATGCGGATCAACCTGCTCTCACTACCGGTTTCGGAGCCCTACTCTATCATCAGGTGAGCGTGGGAGATCCACAAAATGACAACCGCAGCGCAGAGATAGTTAATTCCGACTTGTCGGAAAGTATCGGCTAGATATTAAGTACCGAACGGGAGATAGCGGCCTGCATGCAATGGTAGTACTTTCGCACCACCGAGGCGCAACTATCGATAGTAAAAGGATGGTAAAAGGCCTTTTTTCAGGCAAGCCAAATTATAAAATAAAAAACAAATTTCTTGCAGTAGAGGTATACAATAAAATTATATAAAGATTCTTGCCACTTAACTGCTAATATAGAAATTTAATTCTACGCTGTGTTTGTCATAATGCGGATCAACCTGCTCTAACTACCGGTTTCGGAGCCCTACTCCATCATCAGGTGAGCGTGGGAGATCCACAAAATGACAACCATAGCGCAGAGATAGTTAATTCCGACTTGTCGGAAAGTATCGGTTAGATATTAAGTCCCGAACGGGAGATAGCGGCCTGCATGCAATGGTAGTACTTTCGTACCACCGAGGCGCAACTATCGATAGTAAAAAGATGGTAAAAGGCCTTTTTTCAGGCAAGC